TTGCAATACCATGCTGGCAGCACTTTCCATAAATTACTCTCAAATTCAATACGTTGCTTGACAAAAACAAGAATAAAGGGCTTTTTACTTTAAAAAGTAGAAAACTTGTATCATAAAAAAAAAATCTTTAAATTATAGTTTCTCTTTTCTGGTCCAATTTAAATTGTTACATAGTTGCTAAATTAGTGCTGTAATCCCTGCTTACAAATTGCAGAATTATTTTTAAAAATAGATGTAGCTTTACTGCAGGGAACAACCTTACACTTTAAACCCTATGTACTGCAGGAAGCTGCCCTTGCACAGCTTTCAACCAGCCACACTCACGTGCACACAGGGTGAGTGAGGTTTACAATACCAGTCACACTGAAGCCAATAGCAGTCTCACCAGAGATTTCAACGAGCACAAATTGAGTTAACACTGACATTTTAGAATGATTAGCAAATTTAAGCCTTCCCAGGATGCTCCATGGCACCAGTGACTCTCATTGTACCATTTCTTTAAAGCATTTCTCTGCTCACAAAACAAATATTTGGGGGGGGGGGGGAAAGGTGGAGCACTATGATGCCAAGTTCAAAGCTGGGGAACAGAAATAACCAGGACAAGACTCCCATGCATAATTCTTCTTCCTTCAAGCACTTTCACAGCTTCAATACTATGGAAAGATGAAGTTCACCTGCAAAAAATCCTTGTAAGTGATCTTTGGGGATGGGTTTAAGATATTGTCCTCAATATCTCACAGTTCTCAGCAGAAATATGAAACCACAATCCCTGGGTCTCCACAGGGCTCTGCAGAGCATACCCACCATCTGCCCTGATCTAGCTTGACAGAAATGAGACTTTCTTTCTTCTCCTCCTTCAATCAATCCTTCACCATTTCTAGCCCACCACTTCTCTGAAGTCTTTCATCTGACCCTGGCTATTTCTGCTATTTCCCCTTCCCAGTCCCACCATGGTCCTCTCCTCAGGTGGGTCACATTGACTGGGACACAACAGAAGAAACCCTGAGAGGCCAGGAGCATCAGCAAGATCTTGCTGCTTTCTGCATGAACTGCAGGAGCTCAGACCCTCCCAGCCCTCACCTCAGAGTGCACATCTCCAGCTGCCAACCACCAGACTGTCAGGAGAGGGGAGTAAGAATGGAAGAAAATTTCCACATCCTGGAGAAAGTTATCTGGACATCAAAGAACAGCCCATTCACAAAACAGCAGCATCACTCTTGCCAGACTGGTGTGTCTGGTTAACTTTGTGCTCAGTCCTTATGATAACACGGTATTTGGAGGGCAGACAGCTGGCACTGCTCAACATCTTGCTCTTCAGTATTTTATAACAACAGTTCCACTGATATTACGCTTAGCCTTTTCCCTGCTCTCAGTCCAGTGTTAAAATCTCTTCAACTACTTAGAGGAAGCAAACCAAATGTTCTTTTGTCAGTAATTTGCCCTGTAAGAGAGGGGGGAAATATACTGATAACATACTGCAGACACGGCATTCATCACGTGCACAGCAGTGCACTGGTTACACTGGAAACTCTATCATGGTATTTCAAATGTTAACTTGACTGTCATCATGACTGGGAAACATCTGTTTCCTATTAACACTTTAGTTTTTACAGTTGCTTTTAGTTCAGCAGAAGAGTCTTAATGGAGAAGACTGGTACTCTTTTAGAAATAACATCAATAATGAAAGAATCCTTGGATGCAGAGCAAAACCAGCAAACACACTGGCAACAGAACTCGCTGCACTCAGAAGATGTAACAGGAAATGACAGTGATGGGCTTTTGGGTGGGAGGATTTTTGTGTGATGGAAATTAACTCTGGTACTCAAATTCCCATTAAGAAAAATATTTCTTTTCAAACAGGTGATTGATTTCCTTAGACGTTAATTCAGACTTTTGGGGAATTTCATCTTAATTGGATCACTGATAAATAAAACCAGAAACAAAAACAACAAAGAAAACCCCTTCTGCAGGCTATTTAGGCTTAGTACTGACTAACCAGTAATTAAATACAGCTCTTCACAGAAATCTTAATTATGGCTTCACTACACCACAGCTAAGAAGAGTCACACAACAAATTGAGAAGATTAGCCAATTCTAATTGTTTAAAAACATTTATTTTTATTTTTGTGCATAGTTTTTGTGTGCATAAGGCCACAAGTCACACCAGTGAATTATTAAAAAATAATCTAAGGCTTCAAGAATTTATATATCACAACTAGGCCAGTGTTACTAGGCAAGTATTTGTTTATTTTCTTTATATAAATTAAGCCTCTATGAATTGCGTAAGAGGTCAAGAGTTTTTGACTTGGGAAAATAGGGATGTGTGCTAGAAATCAGCGTGAATTAGGTAGACCAGAAACAAGTTTCACTGAATTACTCACACTTACACCAGCTGAGAACCCTGTTTTCTCAGCTGGCCACTGCCATGAATTAGCTGTGCAGTTTTGGGCCAGTCACATCTGCACCTTCCATGGGAATTCAGCTCCAGAGGAATTTGAGTCAAGGTACTTCAATCCCACTGAGTTTCTACAGATCAAGGATTCCTAGTATCCAAGCTATTTTCTGATAGCGGGACTTTGGGGAACAAAAAATACCCTACCACCTTCAAAAACCAAACACCAAAAAATCCCCCAAAATCAATCAACCAACCAACCAAAAAGAAAGGGGGAAAAACCCCAAACCAAAACTAATCAGAGGCCACAATTCAGCAGAATGTGGCTAGACAGGCTGGATTTTAAGCAGGTCACTAAGTCTCAGAGTTCAAGATAACTGCATCACACATGTAAAGGCATCTGAAGACAAAAGCAGTCAGGCTGTGCCTCATCAATTTAAGGGTCTCATTCATCTGCAAGAATAACTTGCAAGCCTAGCTCAAAGCCTCAGTGTACTTAAGCATTCATTATCCTACTGAAGCCAATGCAGGCTTCATTCCACTGAAAAATCAATGAGACATATGCTCTAGGACACAAATTCCTCAGGCCTAAAGCCAGAGGATGGCAGAAGCCTAGATCCCTTGTAGATCTGGCTTTCAACACAGCAGAGTCCTGAGATTTCTGAAAGACACTGAGACATAGGCTCCCAACACTTGTTTCTTCCACATTTATGAGTTCAATATGTGCTTGGGCTTTTGTTTTTGGCTTTTTTTTTTGTCCTTACTGCATCAGACTGCCATCTTCCTGCTTCCCATTTTTCACTCACAGTACCAGCTGCCCAGCTACATATATGTAGCCCATCAGTATTGCCATCCTTTCCCCTGCATGTGCAGCAGCAGATGGATCCAGACGTGTTTTGGGTTAACTCCATAACCATGTTTTTGTGGACTGCATGGATAAACATTAAAGGCCCCTTCTGGTTATATAAAAGGAAGCTATTAAACGTTTACTCTTTCCTCTGTACTCAGAGCTGCAAAGCCCTATCACAGAACATACAAACGCAGATGCAACCAGGCAATTATCGTTCCTTTATCCCTTAAATAGATAGAAGATAAATTTGAAAGAAAATGAGGAACAGAATCCTTCTCCCTTTCCTTTTTTATCCTTTTATCTCCCAATGTAGGAAGTTTACTGAACCCTTGCCAACAATTCACTCAGGCTAATGAAGTGTATAAGTAATGGGATTAAATAATCTTAAACCATTACTACAGTGGCTAATGCAGATGTTTTCCCAAACTAAAGCAGATGAGTGGTGTAGAATGCGTGCTTGATTTAAAAAAGAAGAAAAGAAAGTATCAATCTGCAAGCAGATGAAGTCAATTCCAGACTGAAGTCAATGAAATGTTTAATTCTAGTTACATAAAGTTGCTCCAATTATATTATGAATGCACCTTCCTAAAGTCTTCAGTGCTTTGCACGTGGTTAAACTTGCCACAAAATGAAACTTAAATTTTTTATGGTGCAATCATTTTAGTGCAAACAAAAATAGAAATTATTTAAAAGGTACATATTCCACCAAAAGACCATTTAACTTTTAAAATCAATTTAACAAGGCCCATCTATCACTGCCATTGTAAGTAAGACACAATCCTCCCTTTTTATATTCAGTATTTCTGTAACAATATCAATGTGAAGGCTCTGTAGAAATAGAGAGAACAACGAAATACTGGTGGCATTTTCAGAAATATTTTAATATTATTGCTCTAATTATCACTGGAATGACAGAAATGTCATGAAAAACATCAATTTTTACTTTTAGAAGTGTAAATCCAATTATCCAGTGTTTGTAAGAACTCAAAACTGGAAGTTTAAAGAAAGATCTGTCAGTGTTTTAAGAATGTTCCAGCGCTTTTCTTACTCTAAGTTACAAGGATAATCCTTATATACTGGATGCTAAGGTCAGACCAAGGTAAAGCCTCAGGCACATTATGGGATGTTTCTTTAATTTGAACCTGTGCAACTGGTTCCAGCTTCTTGTTATGGGAGTCTCTTAAAACGTGCAGCTCCACGGAGCAACTGTTAATTGTTTGCTTTAAGACCTTGTTGGAGGCATGAAATGAAATTTTAGGGTAATGTAAGCTTCAAAAGACATCTAATCCAAAGACCCTTAGTTCAGTAGAAAGTCTTCCATCAAGCAAGGCAAAAGTCTTGATTTTAGAAATTTTAGTGCTTTCTTGCATCCCACCTCCTTAATCTTATTGGGCACACAGTGTGTAACCATTTTGGTATCAGATTTCTCAACACAGAAAGCTGAGAACCACACTACTGCTACAAAATGACTACATAGTCTGCTCCTTACAGAGATGAAACAATCACAAAACCCAGCTCTTTCTCCTGCTGTGTCCACTTCATTTCAGAGGGAAGTCAGACCAGGAAATGTAATTCACCCAGTAAGCTGAAAAGACCAGAGTTCTTCTGAAGACCATAAAAAAAACCTGTTGCTCATGGTACTGCCATGAGCAGGGTTGTCAGCTTTTAACTGTAAGGCAACTCCACAGCAATGAAAGAAATAAATGTTTCCCATGTCTGTGCATTAAAAACAGGGCACAAAGAGGAACGGGTACTCACAATGTAGCAGGGTTCACAGTAGGCTTTCTTCTCCACGGCGTAGAAAGGCTGTCCCCTCAGCTTGCTGCTGCACTTTATGCAGGTGAAACAATCCACGTGGAAGACTTGGTCCATGGCCGTGCAACCGGTGCCCTCTCCGACAACATTCTCCCCGCAGCGGGCACAGCGTCCTGTCACCAGAGGGAAAGGACAGCAGTCAAAGCAAGGCCCTCGTCCCAGCTGCACAGGAGGTCCCGCCACTCACCTGTGGCTGGTAAGGGGCATGTGGCAGCTCAATCCACAGAAAAACAATTTGTGCTACTGCTGGCAAAGATTCAGTGCCCCTGGACCGCACTTTGGTGCTGGTCCATATGAAAAGATCTAGAAAGGATTGACACTGCCTCCCACGACAGCACTCATGTCGGTTGTGCTGCTGCAAGCCAGCAATCATTGTAGAGATCTTGAGCTCCAGATACAAACCACTCAGCTACCATCTAACCCAGCTATATAGTCATCCTCAGCTCCTCAGTTAGATGGGATAAACCTGTGCCTTAAGCCTTGCTTCCACATGAAAGGATTTTGTCATAGGAGGCCTCATAAAGCTGCCTGATGGCAGCAAAATTTAAGAAGTTTTTCTTGTCTAGCTTAAACCAATTCTCTCAATGGAGGCAATTACTTTTTTTTTCTGTTCAAGGATTAATACAGATTAAGATATTCTGTCTATTTAAAGCATCGAAACTACTTCTAAAGAAACTGATGTGTGGATATTTTATTCTTACCATCCTTCAAAAAAGGTGTATCAGAAACTGCTGGTAAAGAGTCTAAGTACGGACAAGCCTTAAGAGCTCTGTCTGTTTCTGAAAAAGGTCCTTAATGTTAGACACAAATGCATAACAAAAAGTCTGTAGACACGCACATACAAAGGCTTGCTGCCTTGTTCAGATTGTTGCTAAAGATGCTATGTGGCAGATAGTTTTAAAGTGAAGACAAGATTTCCTTAGCTGCTGGGAAAAACATTTCCCTAGGGAACATTGTGGTGCAGAGGTGATGGAAGAGGTGGGTAGCATGCACACCTTTGCTATTTTTCTCTGCCATTTGGGTTCCAGAAAATGGAGATAGCCCCCGAAGTTCTGATGTCCCTACATAACAATTGATGTTGAAAGTGGAAGGCATTAAGGACAAGGTCAGCCACAATAACAGGAGAACCCCATCAAAGGTAACAGAGGAACTATGATCTGGGGCACTGCCCCACTCAAAATGGTACCCTCCAGTTTAAGAATAACTGTGGTGACCCCAGCCCTGGGACCCTGCACTTCTTGAAGGATTCATGGGTGGAGTGGCGTGGTCAGTGAGCATGGGAAGGAAAGCAAGAGCTGAGGTACAAGCAGGAAAGCAGACTGAGTTCAATACAGAATTATTCATAAAGGCATATAGAAATAATATGTACCTGATAATAATTCCATAATCCAGTAGTAATATAATGCTCCCTCACACCTGTTTATTGGCCTTTTCATGCAAATACTGCACATCTTCTACAAGTTAGACCTGTCTTATCTCAAGAGTAGGACTGCTGCCCTTCACTGTGAACTGACAATGTCCCCACACTCATGACTTCTTTCCTGCCTGTCCCACACTCCAGCAAGCTACATTCAGGGAACAAAGCATGTAAGCTACTTTTGGATCCCTCAGGATGTGGCAGGATGATATATATACACATTTGAGATATATTAGGAAAGCTTGGAAAAGAACCCAGATCATTACCATTTGCTACAATGGTATAACTGTAGTTGGCTTTATACAGGACAGACAGTTCCTGATTCAAACAGCTCCCAGCCTGAGGAATGTGGAAGGAGAACTCACCAGATGAATCCAGACAAGTCTGGAAATCCCCCAAATGGAATTAATAATGATGTATTTCAACTTAACTTTCCTTAGCATTTGTTATTAGGGTTTTGATTGTCACTGTTGTGCTTTAATCACTCCACAGTAACACTTCTAGAGAGGACTCCTTTTTTATAAGCAGAAAAGGAATTCAGGTTTCCCAGCATGGTAGTGAGGCTACAGAGCTCAGGGGAAGAATGGAAAAAAACATGAGGGCTAGGAAGAAAAAAACCCAAACCCACTGGAGAGAACCACAGTACAGAACTCAGCACTGCACTGAGAAGGAGGCAGAAGACACCTCCTGTGTAGCACAGGAGAGCCCTGCTGAGCCCTGGTGTGGACAGCACAGAGCTGCTCCAGGGCCTTCTCCAAACATCTCGTGTAGCTGGGCTGTAACACGAAGAGACGTCTGGGGAGCAGTTAATATCTCTATATATAAAACATGAAATTGAAAGCCATTAGTGTATTACTTTACACAGTGTTTTTCCAGAGGGAATATTCCGCTGAAGAATTTATTTTCCCTAGTGTGCCATTCTGTGATCATCCGGTATTATTTTTATGAGGCATTTGGACATGGAATAATGTAGTGTCTATGCAAACACTTCTCAGCTTTCTTTGTTAACATCTGAGCAGAACATGTGGGAATCTTTACCCCTCCTTCTCTTCTCACATTCATAATTTAGCCAGCTCTTGTGTGCTTCAGCATTTATCTTCCTCTTTGACCAAGGCATCTCTCCATTTGCAGAAGAAGCTGTCTACATGGAGACCATACTTATGGCTGCACCTATGCCAGGAAACCTGGGTCTGTTTCCTAACTCAAATACATACTCCTGTAATCTCTGACAAGTCACTCAGTGCCCCTGTACCTCTGTCCTCTCTTTGAGCAAAGGGCATAAAGACATCTTCTCTGCCTCCCAAAGGTGCCCTGAGGCTACACTCCCCATGGCTCTGAGGTATTCCCCAACTACACTGCTGGTGGTCAGATACAAACCAAAGAGTAGCACAACATGAGTTTTGGCCAACTTCTCCCCTTTAAGTTAGTTTCCTGAGGCTTTCCTTCCTCTTTCTGGGTTTTTCCACAGAAGATTCCCACTGAGGCAGCAACAGACTTAATCTGTCTACATTTATGAGAAGTCCAGTTTCTGCTATTAAGTACACAGACAGAAATACTCCTATAAACTCTCACACAGGAAAGCTTAAAGAAAGCTTCCTTTTTTATAAGTTTATATGCAAATTATAACACTGTGGCCTTGGGCAAACCATGTTTTTCATGAGACATGGCCACTCCAGTGAGAATCAAAACACAAGCTCTGTGCCTAGCAACTCTCCCAACTGACTCACTCACCCAAAAGGTAAAAAACAAATAAGCCAAAATATTCAAATTTGGGAGCCAACAGTTGGGTGGCTGGATCCACTTAAAGGCACATGGGCAAATATACAACCAATCTGGTTTGCAGCAATGTGATTGCTGGAGACTGCACCTTCTGCAGACCTTGGTGCAATCTGGGAACTCACAAGGCTTCTGCAAAAACCTGTCTCTTCTCCCAACTCCTGCAACTCACTCAAATGTAGTTGAAAATGGCTATTAGTTTCAAGTGTTGGTGAAGGAGGAACTGACAAGCAGACAGGCACATGCACACAGGCAGTGTGATTGCACAAGCCTCGTTTCCTTAGAAAACCAGAAAAACCCCACTAAAAACAATGTATCTATCATTATGTCTGATAAAAACAAAACAAAACAAAGGTCTGCTTTTCCTCTGTGCCAGTTACCAACGGCGAAGGTATTTGTGGTTGGGCTCACCACAATTAAGTACCCACACATGTTCCCCATTTTAATATTTTCACACTGTCTCAAATAACCCAGTCCGTTGTGTGCAGAATACCCATGAGTGAACACAGAACAAGTTGCACTGCTTATTGGGAAAGAAGTAGCAAAAGGCAAAGTTTGCAAGACTCAAGAACAAACAGATTGCACAAAAAAGATTACACAAATAATCTAAGAGAAAAATAGCAGGCAGCGTATTACAGTAGAAACACGGAACAACGTGACCCATTTGCTTTCCACAAGCAGAATTTAAAAGGCAGCTTAAAGACAAAGGACAAAATTAGCACTAAACTGCATGAAGATGAGAAACTATGTCATTTCAACATTCTTCTTTTGCCCCTTCAGCCCTTTATAGATCCTTTTCAAGATCATTTCAGCAAAACTAGAAGGCGATATGTTGGCAGCAAGCCTGGGAGACCAGAGTCCTCTATTTTTGCATGAAAGAGGTTCATAACCTTGGCCGTGCTGTGACCTTCCCTCAGCCCAGCCTGGCTGCCACATGGTGGTCTTACCTTGGGGGCGTGTACAGAAGTGCCTGCAGAGGCTTCCCTGCTGAAAATGCCACAGTTAGTGAGTGCATTACACAGAAACACTTCAGCAGCTGAAAGGATACATCAGCTGCTATACTCTATTCTGAAACCTCCTCACTTAATGTCTTCTGCTGTGTAAAAAATTTGAAATATTGTGAATTTGAAGGAGGAGGGGGGAAGGAGAAGAGGAGCTCATATGCCACATGATGCCATGTTCTAACTTCTTGTTATCTCATTACTCTTATTACATGGTTTTTGCCTATACCACCACAGATCCTGTCTGCTCAGATTATAGAATAGATCCATTCTGCTTGATATTGGGAAAACACAGAATTCAAAGAATGGCTCAACTGCAGGAGTTCACAACGTAATACAAGCAATAACAACTAGGTAGTGATAGGAAATAGAAGGAAACAATCAGACGAAACCAGTCAGCAAGGGAAGCTGTGGTCTCAGCAGTCAATGTTTTACTGTTGACAAGGAGTCTGTAGACAGCACAGCAAAGGAAAAAGTTAAGGAAGGATTTGAAAGAGGACCCGGAGGGAGTTTAAAGGAAGTTTAATGGAATGCTTCTGAAGAAAGGACAAAGACAACACAAAAGAGAATGTAAGTGCTTGAAGGTTGAACATAGACAGCTTCAGATGGGAAGGATGAGTTGGTATGTCACTAGAGAATACTAGACAAAGAAGGGTGGGAATAGGTCATTACAGGTCGTGCAGGTAAAGACATGAAGCTTCTGTTTGATATGAGGCAGAAATGAAACCAGAGGAGAGATGTTTAGGAGTTGGATTCGATGATCCTTGTGGACCCTTTCTGACTCAGGATGTTCTATGACTCTATGACTAAGAGGTAAAAATTATCTGGCCTAAGTTAAAAGCCAGAGAGTTATTTCTACAGCTAGTTGAGCATGAATAGAGAGAAACCGCATTTTTTGAAAAGGATATTGCAGAGATTA